AGTGACTCCAAGGTCCTTCGAAGTTGTGATCAGGGTTCCCTAACATTACAGCATTTAGAAAGGTTGTCAATTCTTCCAGAACAGCTCAGTCGCTCTGCTGGGCCAGCTGTCGAGCCGGTAATTCTTTTCCAGAAGATGGGTGTAGGCCGACTAGATCTTTATGTACTCAATCCAGTCAAAGGTAGCAAAGAACTAGAGGCTTTCTTGCAAACTTGGCCTGCCAGCACTCCGAATATAAAAACCTCAGAAATCCCTCTGGAGTGTATGGTGTCTATATGTGCACTGTTGGTATGGCATCCAGCTAATCCTCGAGAAAAGATAATTCGTGTTCTGTTTCCTGGGTGCACTCCAGAATCCAAGGTCTTCGAGGGTTTAGGAAGACTAAAGCATCTAGAGTTCCTCAAACACCCAGAAGTTAGTTTGAAAGACCTTGAGGCATCAAAATTGGATAAACAGCCAAAGCGTGCTGAGAGCAAGGAAAGCCTTAAGAGTATTTCCAAAGAGTCTCGACCTGGTAGTGCCTCACTCAAAGACAAGGTAAGCAAAGTAGATTTGAAAAGGCAAGACACTAAAACAAAGATTAAACCCACTAATGACACCGTTCCAAAAGAAGGGAAAGAGGGTGAGGAAAAAGCGAAGCCAAAAGATGATGTGAAACAAAGAACTTCTAAGCCTGAAAAGCAAGTGGCTAAGAAAGAACCTGCTAAAGATGAGAAAAAGGAAGTTGGGAAGAAAGAGGAAAGGCCACCGACAAGTATTGCAAAGAAAGATGAGAATGTAGAGAAAAAGAAAGAACCCTTGAAAAAAGATCTTGGTGCAAAGCCCAAGAAAGATATTAAACCTGATTTGAAAAAGGAGATTAAGAAAGGGGTCAAACCAGAAGACAAAAAAACTACCAAAACTCTTGGCAAGGATGTTAAGAAAGCCACTGGAAATTTGCCAGGCAATGCAGAGGCTAGAAAGACAGTTGGCAAGTATGGCTCACTAAAGAAAGATTTGACGCTCCCTAAAAAGGATCCTTTGACCAAAGGGAAGCCAAAGCAAGACAAAAAGGAGCCTGACAATCTGAAACCCTCAAGTGCAGTCCAGTCAAAGACTTATACACCTGAGGACATTACTGCCCAGTTGGAAAAGTTGGGGATGGAGAATGAACATGGGCCATTGGAGGATGTTGAAGGCAACCATGTGAGCTCAAGAACAGAATGTGCCTCTGAGAACAATGACAAACAGGTGAATGGCTCTACAACAGTTACTGATGAAAGTCCAGAGAAGTTTCGCAGTATGGATGGGGCCCCTGACTCAAACAGTGCTATTGGACTTCCCTCCCCACTTGCTCCAAAGAGTGAGAAAAGTGTTAATTTTGATATCACACCAACAGAGCTTGATGGATGCCTCAAAGACGATGTCTGTACAAGCTCGGATGAAAAAACCCTTGAGTTATTTTCCCCCACAGACTCTGAGAAGAACAGTTCAGGGCATTACCCACAATCCCCTGACAATTCTTCTCAGGTCTCTGGTGAAGATTGCAAGTTAGGTCTCAGGAACTCTGGTCTTGGTTTTGAAGACAGTCAGCAAGTCTGCAAGAACTCGAATCCAGGTTGTTCAAGAAGCAATATAGAAAACAGCTCCATATCGTCACAAGATAGACAATCAAGCTTTCTGTCCTCGACTTCTCTTAAAGATACTCTACCCGATGCCTCTCCCAGCATCACTTCCTTTCCTGCGGAAGTTGGCTCTCCACACTCCACTGAAGTAGATGATTCGTTATCGGTTTCCTTCGAACAAGTGCCTGTTTGTCATTCACAGGAAGAGTTGGGCAGCTTGGCATACACTAATGGACATTTAGCAGACCGTGACCCCAAAACAGATATGTCTTTACCTTTAAAAACATCTCATAATAGTCACCAAGCATATGATGAATCAGAGAATCACCTCTTTAGACCACAGATTGACATCCTTCCACATGATGTCGATCTATGTCTGGTTTCACCCTGTGAGTTTAAGCATCACAATTCTCCAGAGAACCAACAGGGTCTCTCTTCGGAGGTTCCTGCTCCAAGTCCTGACCTCTCTCTGGAGCCCGGTAGACTGACCTACCAGTGCAGTAGTAGCGATCATCAGTCTCTGGAAGGTCAGGAGACGACATCCTCTGTCAGCGTCTCTCTCATCTCGGTTTCTGATTCTAATGTGCCACCAGCCACTGAAGAGTGTCCCTCCATTACTGAGGACTTGGACTCTGATGAGGACCCTAGTGACATCTTTCCACCACACCATCCTCACGACCATCCTAGCAGTCATTCGTTACACCACAATTCCCAGCATGTCTCTGAAGACCCTCCACCTGCCCCAATGAAAGATTTACCTCCACTGCCACCCCAGCCCGATGCCTGCATGGCTGACCCAGAGGCTGATGGTCAGGGTAGATCTTCCAAGAATGTAACATCAAAGACCAAAAAATCAGCACCTGTGTCCACAAAGACTGCATCTGCAAACATCGTAACACAGGGTGGGAAGACAAAGACTGGTGCTCAGCTGTCTGCCAGTGGAACTATTCGGCCAACATCCAGTCTGGACACCAGACCTCAATCCCGCAATGCTGTTAGCGGATCTAGACCAGTGCCTTCAAAGTCCTCATTCAGTAAGTGCTCATTTTTTCTTCCAGAAATATATTAATTGTACATGTGTTGGGGATCGGTCAGGATATTCGCCTAGTCAATTCGATAGGCTTTTTTTAGTGATGATAAATAAAAAGGGCAGGAATTTAAAGGCACTATTTAGAGGATTTTAGTATGCTAACTGTAGTTTTTGGATTTTTGGTTGCATCTCTAAAGCTATGTTCACTCTGTCAGTCCTTATCAGATTATTTGTATATCCACTTGGATTCTGATCTAAATGACTGACTGTCCTCACGGTGTATCGCAACTGTTCAGATTAGATTTGTGTGTCTCGTGACGCTGTTTCGTTTAACGGAATATCTGCATTGGATTCAATGGCAATGACGGTGCATTGGTATGCCTACGGTAAAAATATGATTCGATTCCAATCGGATATGCACAAAAATTGGAACTGGACTTACAATCTGGACAAGACCTAAATTCATGCCCTTAAAAGCGCTACTGCTACAACTATCAGTTGTTACAGCTTAGGTAACACATCAACAACTGCCTTCAGGAATGAATTTCAAGACAATCAATCTGGTCAATGCAAACCAGTGGCCTGAGCTCCGGGAATATATTGTCCATTTGTAACTCTGGTGTTTAATGAATCTTTAGAGTTCTAAACCTTGAATCAAACCAACCAGCTCCACATAAATAGCTTTCCATTTATATAGGAATGAATGAATGTAACGAATATGAAGTATAGAGGGAGGGAGATCAGTAAATGTGCTTTGAAGTCCAAATGTGAATAATGTTTTTGCTTCCCTTTGCAGGTTCTGTCAGTGCAAATTCAAGTTCAGTACCCATCTGTTTGGACTTGGCATATTTGCCCTCTGGCTCAGCAGCTTCCACTGTCGATGCAGAGTTTTTCCGGCGCCTCCGTTCATCCTGCTATATAATTAGTGGGGATGAGCCACAAAAGGAAACAGTCATGAGATCTATTCTCAACTCTCTTTTAGAGGGCAAAGCATCCTGGCCAGATGTGCAGGTAAGTAGATGTTTTATTTATACATCACCTTTCCCAATCTCAAGGCGCTTTACTAAAGGAATAGTTCATCCAAAAATGAAAGTTCTGGTCAAAGTTTACTCATCCTCATCATGTCAGCTCCCTGCACAGCTTGACAGTCCCACAAAAGACAGACAGTTACTTGACCGTTTTACTGATTAATAGTTGTTTAATAGTTTTTCCATTCACCTGCAGGTGACTTTGATCCCCACGTTTGACTCGCTGACTATGCACAGCTGGTACCAGGAGACCCATGAGCGGCAGAGAGATCTAGCGATCACGGTACTTGGGAGCAACAGCACCGTAGCCATGCAGGATGAGACCTTCCCAGCATGCAAAGTGGAGTTTTAAAGACACCTGAAGAATCACACCCCTGCCTGTCACTAGAGCACTTCTGTTCACTCTCACAACGTTGTCTCTCATTTTCTTCACACATTTTATCTTGAGCAGCAGGATGAAGCATTTCAGATGGATTCATCAGGAATGACTTTTTATCTGTAATGTTAACATCTACTCTAGCTGCTTATTAAAATGTTGTGGATATAAAACCATTAATGGAACAGTTAAAGCTTTACCTTTTCGAAATTGCACTTTTATTTTATTATATATTTTTTTTCTTTCCTGAGCCGATAAAATAATTTTTCTGAGGTACAAGTACTGTTTCAGAATTGTTTTGTTTAAAATGCTTTAAACTTTGGAGAAACCAGCCAAAAAAGAATAGAAAGTGTGTTAAATTTCACTAACAGGCGTATATGTTTCAGTACTGAATTCCAAAATGTAAGTGTATTTTCGAATGTTAAATAAAATTGATAAATTAAGAATGAAAGTACAGTTGTATGTGTTTGTTTGTCTTTCTGCAGTGGTGTAAGGACTCTGAAAACTGCACATTTCAAGGTCCGTGTTAATTTGTATGACACCTGCAACCGTATAAATGTGAATAACAAAAATTTATCATTTGGTTAGTATCTTTTTTTTTTAAACCCAGATAAAGTGAAAAGATATTCATCAAAGACCAGAAATGTATTTGTGCAAGCTTAGGTTTCAAATTCGTGCAAAACTGAATGAAAGTTCGTCCTGAAAGCTGGTCAATACTGTTGTGTTGAAATATTATTCAGCACCTCTGCATATATAGATAGGCCTAATTTCGCGTAGTGGAATCATCTTCTGGAACAATATGCGTCTTTAGCGAATTTAGTAATACAATAAAGTCTTAAAGACATGCTATATTTTTCCTTAGTATTTTGTTGTGTTGCTGACTTATATTGGCTTTCCCTTTAACAATAATCTATGGCATGGCAGCCCTCTACTGGCCAGATATCAGACGTACACAACATACAGTACTTTCGTTTTCTCAGTATTGAAACACTTCACTTGGTTGCTCGGCTCTCTTTCACTTCATTGTTGTGAGTATGTTTTAATTTGATTTGCAATGACCTACCTGAGTTACTGCGTTCTTCACAAAAATACCACGGTAAACGTAATTATAACTGGTAATGCACTACTGAACGGTTCTGAAAGTTTAAGAGAGATCACACACTTAGTCAGTGATTCAAACTAGTCACATCTCGACTCCTTAAAAGACTTTACTGAGGTAAGTTATGTTAATAATCAAAAAAGTACAATCGTTTTAATTTGATTGCACTGACCGCACTCGTACATCTCGGAGACGTCTATTTGACGTCTGCATTACATCTGCAAGACATATTTGTTAGTGTTTGCTCATCTGCGATACGTCTATAGGACGTTTCCTATCAGATGTCAAATAGACGTTTAGACGATGTCTTTAAGATGTTTATGATTTAGAATGTACAGTATGTAAAACTGACATCTTGGAGACGTCTATCTGATGTTTGTACACAGCAGATGCTTTCCAGATGAAGCGATCTTTAGCAGACGTCTTGCAGACGTACGTGTGCTCTCTGGGGACCTACTTATGTTCCTCACAAAACAGTTAAAACTCTTAACTATACTCTACTTCTAAAAACTCTTCTCTTCTGAGAGTTTTCAACTCTCCAAACTGACTTTACCAAGATAATATGCTTTTAATTTAATGTCAGTAGTAAAATCTTATTGTCAAAAGTCTGTCATTTTTCGCTTTTTTTCTACTCCTTCCGCGCGTGGCTGGATCGCGATATAATAGAGCGCTATTCCTATAGAGGCTACCAATAAAGAAAAAAAACAGCGTAATAATTTTAACAGTAACATTTATAAGATAAGTGTAATAACTACCATAGAGCATGTTTTGGTAGTCTTTTATGATTTAGGATGTCACGGCCTCGCCAGGCTTATGTTCCTTGATTTAAATTTTTTTTTTTTTACATTTGATTTACATCCAAAGAAGAATGTGAACCATTTTTTGGTATGGTTGTCAGTGCGTATGTGTGGTTGCTAGGGTGTTCTGTCAAATGGGCTTAATCTCAAGTATGATATTCATTTTCCTATAACTTTTCAATTCCATTCTGTACAGGCAGGTTTATGTGTATACTTACTATATTTTATGCTGTTGTTTGTTGCACTGACTTTGATTCCAGGCACATCTGCAGACATTCCCTTCTCTGATCAAGAATGTCATTTTTTGGTACACACATATCCTCGGACACCAAATCCAGCACCACACCTACAATACTCAGTTTTGGTTTAGGAACATCTTCAGGCACCAAATCCACCGTAGCTGCAGTACCCACGTTTGCTTCTTTAGCCACATCTTCAGAAACCAGCAGCACACCTCCAAAAGCCAGTTTTGCTTTAGCCACATCTTCAGGCACCAAATCTGATCGCAATAAGCCTAAAAAAGTGGCAGTACCTCAATTCTCTCTTGGAGGTATAGTATAGAATTATTTAAACAACAACTACTTTAAATAAACAGTCTCACTGCCCACTTCATAACTATTGGTTTTTATACTTTAGCAGAATTTCCACTCTTGCTGGAAAATGAGTGGAGAAATATGAAGTGGAGTGAGGAGTAAGTAGACCCACCACTATGAAACAGGCTTTTTATAACATTCAGTCGCCTTTAATATTGACTTAAACAACTGTGTGTTTAGAGTGAGAGAGACACTGATGGAGTCTGTCAGGTCATTTAAACCCACCAGTGAGACTGTTACCGAGGCCAGAGTTCTGCTGATCGGTCCAGTCGGTGCTGGCAAGTCCAGCTTCATCAGCTCTGTCCAGTCCGTCTTCTCTGGACGAGTCATCAACAGGGCCATGGTGGGCTCTTCCTCCTCCACCAGCTTCACTAAAAAGGTAAACGTGACTAGAACTTGCAGAAGCTTTGTGATCAAGCTAAATCTGAGGTTGACAATCAGCATTTTTGGAAGGTTTCACTGACATTTTGCCTTCATATTTTGAGAGGTTCAAGCTATATTTTGCAGTCTAGTTTTCTTTGGTGTTTCTCAGCTTCGCTCTTACAACATCAGAGGAGCAGGAGAGAAAGCGGACGAGCCCACAGCTCTGGTCTTGTGTGACGTGATGGGTGTTGGTGAAGGAGAAAGCACTGGACTCTCTCTTCACGATGCACTGTCTGTCATTAAAGGCTGCGCACCAGAGGGACACCAGGTACATTCAAGCTGGATAATAGGACATTCATGCTTTTAAATATACACAAGTGTTATTGGCAGTGACAAAACTTCAGGATTTACAGGATAGCATTAAAAACAATGGTAAAGTTTGAATTACAGGTGCATCTCAATAAATTAGAATATCATGTGGCATGTCACCATATTCTAATTTGTTGAGATAGTGAATTGGTGGGTTTTTGTTAAATGTGAGCCAAAATCATCACAATTAAAAGAACCAAAGACTTAAACTACTTCAGTCTGTGTGCATTGAATTTATTTAATACACGAGTTTCACAATTTGAGTTGAATTACTGAAATAAATGAACTTTTCCACGACATTCTAATTTATTGAGATGCACCTGTATTCTAATTCTATGATGTTTAAGTCTACACCACAACTATAACAATAAGGAATGATATCGTTGCAAACACTTTCAGAAAGATATTTTTTCCAGCTGATCAGAATCCACCAACTTTTATAGAGTTTGAGGATTTAAAGTGACAGACGACAAATGCTATAATAAACAAAATGTTGTCTTCCATTGGTGTGGATGACAATATAGTTGTCATTATAGTTATTGTCTTTGGTGTGAAGGGCATGTATATTTTGCAGTTCATGAATGTATATATTATTAAATTGTATAATATTAATATTCCAATCTAATTTACATATTTAAATCTGCTCTGTACTTTAAATGCTCAGATAATCACCATACTGTAATTACACAGCTGGCACAAATAGAATATCTCATTATGACTATGACATTTAAATGATAAGAAATTAAAGAAATTAACTAAATCAGGGTTTTTTTTTTACTTTTTGATGTTAGAAGCCCGAAATATGATGATTCCCTTGGGAAGGACTCTCTTGTTAATATATTAGAAGAAATATACTGGGAGAAAAATATTAAATGCAATAATATTAAGACAATAAAAAAAAAAACGGTTTCTACATTTAAATAATTGTCTTTTATATGATCAATTGTTATAAATTGTTAAAATATTATCTGGAAAATATTTAGTTTTTTGTTAAGTTAAAAGCTCATCTGAGATGAACATTTATTTTTTATTATTGTTTTAATTCATATTAAGAAAATAAATTACGAGAAAATGAAAAATATCTAAATATTTGCAGTGAATCTCTTGATTCCTGAGCAAGAAAGCAAAGGCTATTAAATTTAGTCAATGTGAACATAAAACACCCTCGACCCAATTTGAAAACCCATGAACTACTAAGTAACATCAAATGTAACATAGCACATATCAGTGCCCATAACTAATAATAAAAAAAAATAAAGTAACCATTTAATTCCTGTTTCTACATAAATATAAGGTGATTCATATTTTTCAAACTTAAGTGTTACAAAATCTAGCGAGTAGAATTGCATTTCCTTTCTTGGTTAATGAAGTACACATTTTCACTGTAAATTATGTGGTAATTCTTAAACACATTTTTACAGTATTTTACTGTAAAATTTAATTATCTTTTGAAATGTGATTTGATTTTTCGCATGATATAGTTATCAATTAAAGGGGTCATATGATGCGATTTCAGGTTTTCCTTTCTCTTTGGAGTGTTACAAGCTGTTTGTGAATAGATAAGATCCCTAAAATTGCAAAGACTAAAGTCTCAAACCCAAAGAGATATTCTTTATAAAAGTTAAGAGTCAGCCACGCCCCCCTAAAACGGCTCGTTCTAACACGCCCCCACATGTCTGCGTCACGATGTGGGAAGATTTGCATAACGCCGCCGTTTATCCCAGCGTTTACCCCTCACGTCACTAGCTCCGCCCTTGCGCCATAGCTCGTGACCGGAAGAGAAGAGGAGTCGTTTTGAGGGGGAGGGGAGGTTAACGTTTTTGATTAAAGATTAGACCTACATGAATTAGAAAAAAATAATGAAGTGCACAGATAGATTATTTATAATAAACACTACAGTATTCCATTAAAAAATAAGAATTTTCAATTTTGATTTCATGGTGACTTTAAAGTGGCAGACGACAAAACTGCAGCTCGCGCTTATAATAAACAGAGCAGCTATGTTTCCATCGAAAGATGCGAATTTAACTTATGCGCAAAACTGGAATATCGCAATGATATTTTGGAGAACATTGGTAACCAAGCACAAAATCGTCACTTCCTGATAAACTGGCACTAAATATCTCTTAAGAAAACTAGGAGAAGCCACTGAATATAATAATTTTCATATGTAATAAATGACTTGCGCTTCAGAGAGAGCAGACGTAACACAATAAATGCGGTCATTGCTTTTAGATGTGGATGCCTTCTGTTTGGGAACGCAGTCGTGTAAGACTTTAAGACTTTGCTCAGAACGACCAGAACAACATATAGATGCTGTGACTGAGATCGGTCCGCTGGTTAGTCAATTTATCCCATCTCATAGCGCAAAGTCACATGACTTTTTCAATGCGCATGGTGGAATTTATTCGGCAAATGTGTTTCCATCATTTTTTATTCGCATTTTTAGAATTTATGCTCATCTTGGCGTTTCCATCCAGCGGTTTTTTATGCGATAATCCAAACTGCGCATAAAATGGATGGAAACATAGCTAATGTTATCGTCTGTTAGTGTGGGCGCTAATATCTTTATCGTTATTGTTTTTGGTGTGAACGAGTCTTCGATGCTTCACTTAATAATCTTTAGCCATGTTTCATGTATACTTAATCTAATTTTCTGGATTGCAGGTGTACACCAGGCGGCGTTGCTGACCCATGTGGACCAGGTGTGTACCGCGACCAGAAGAGACATCACCAAGGTTTACAAGAGCCAGGCTGTTCAGCAGGCGGTATGTCATGCTTGATGCTTTGCCATGTTCTGCTGTCTGCCTTGAGCGTCACGTGATTCATTCTCTTACTGATCTGACTAGATGGTGAAGGCCGGAGAGCTGCTGGGAATGGCCACATCCTACATTGTGCCGGTGAAGAACTACTGCTCAGAGCTGGATCTGGATGAAAACACTGATATTCTCCTGCTCAGCGCCGTCGATCATATCTTACAATATGTGAATCTGTACTTTCAAGACAACAGCGATTAAAGCATTACAGTAAGAATTTGAGAGATGCCCCAAAAAATAGTTCATCCCAGTTTTGTCCCATTGAAATGTTGATGCCAAAGCTTATAATTTTTTGCTAAAATATTGTGGTGATTTGAATTTTTATAAAACAGATTTTACTTTTTATAACAGTATTTGTGAAGTTGAACTGAAAAGGTTTGACTAAAGCTTTGCTTTTAATAAAGTTTGCTATGTCTTCGTTCAAACCTACAAAAATAACGTATAGGTTGTAATAATGTAATACATTATTATATGACATATAAACCGTGGTCATGATAATAATATTTTTGTCTAGTTGTGGTTTCTTGTATTTTGAAATCTTTCATATTTTACACTTAAGGCTCATTCACACCAAGAACTATAGATAGGCTAACTATACTAGCATCCACATCAATGCACGATAGCGTTCTGTTATGCTGGAGCGCTTTACTGGCTGTCGATGTTTTTATCGGTCATCAGCCAGAAAACAAAATGTTCTGAAAGAACGGTATCCTTGTCCTTATAGCTGTAGTGTGAATTTTCCTATTGACATAGAATTAGAACGATTATTAAAACGTTATAATTATCGTCCTTGGCGTAAACGGGCTTTTACACGAAGTTATTTAAAGCAGGAAAAGTTTCTGCGTTGGCCGGGAATCGAACCCGGGTCAACTGCTTGGAAGGCAGCTATGCTAACCACTATACCACCAACGCCTGCTGTCTGTAGTGCGCACTAGTGTCACATCCTCATCTTCAGACAACCACATGAAACTGAACAAACGTTGTGATTTGTAAAAGAAAACACGTGTCTCGCTCTTTGCCGAAATTCGTTGTGTTGAATTCAAAATAATGTGTGTTTTTGCGGGCGGGTGTTAGTGTTCATCCAATGTTTTACAAAGGGTTTACTTGTCAGGTTAGTCAGTGAAATCTATCAGTTTCAAAATGACTGATGCCTGATATACACACAACTCCGCTGCAGCAATGTGTACAACATTATCAAAATAATCATCCAGCATTTACAAACTCCTCCAGTAAAGCGACGAGGAAAGACACAAGACCACGAGATGTGGACTTTCAGCGTCTCTCTGTGGGTTTCATCACTGCACCAGTAGGTGGCGGCAAGTGACTGCGAGTCTGAATCATTCACTGAACCGACTCCTTCAAACACGTTGATCCATTCAGGGAAGTAACTGGCAATGTTATGCAAAAATAAATAAATAAAAAACCCTATCAATTGAAGGAACAATATTGGGCAACTTGTTAACTGAGTAACTGTATAACAAACGAAAATGCCTCCAACCTTAAAAAGGTGTGTGGTATAAAGACGAATTGCGTCCATACAGTTCATCTCGAAGTTCGCTGGCTCAAGGCTTTGGCTATTTGTGTATTTTAGTCTCTGTGGAGAAAATGAATGGGGATTTCATTTCAGAAACGCATTACTGTAACGTACATCCCTAGTTCAGTATGCGATTCGCGCATGCGCTCTAAACGTCAAGTACGTAACGAGGCTTCACGACGTCATGACGCTCGACGCTGGCGCGAGAGGGGTGTTTGGCATGATCGAGCAAAATAAGTAAGGACCCGAGCTCAGCCGAGGACCCTGGAGCACAGGTGAGTGATACATTACCTTTAGGTACCTGTTACAGAGGAGGACGGTCTTTGTAAAGACGAGCTCGAGCTGAAGCAGGTGAGTGAGTGAAAGTGGCGGGGGGATGTATTATTAAACACACGACAGTCGTTAGAAACAGCCTGATAGTTGTTGTGTAGTGATGTTTAGACTATAAAGAATCGAGCTTTTTCCTGCGGTGTTGTTTTGCATGTTTGTTTGCTCGTGTTGACAGTCGAACAGGCTGCGAGCGATAGATTAGTTAGCATGAATCACAGTTATTCTGGTGACATTTGAGCTGTTTACTAGCAGACAGCTGTTTATCACATAATGTTAGTAAATGTGGTCGATGGGTTGGTGTGCTGCAGTTAATGCTCAGGGGTCAGTTGCATAAACACTGTGACTAGGTTAAGACTGCAAACTAATCTGACCAATTA